TAAATCAAAAGAGCTCAAACTAGCAAACTACTCAAAGACTGGCATCAAAATATTTCATACAAAATTGAATCAAGTACAACAAGCACATAAAGGACAGGCCTGGAACCCATCTGCTTAACAAACAAATCTCACATAAATCAAGCTACTCCCTTGAGCTAAAATGATTACAAAGGGCTACTGACAAGGTCGGCCCACAATCGCAAAATCGAAGCAAAATTTGAACAGTAATTGAGATAATATATACAGCTAAAATGCAAGATACATCACATATAACCACAAATAACGAATAAACAATCAAAGGGGAAAAAACGACAGAATCACATCAGTGGAGGAGAAGAATTACATAAAGATTTTTTATATCGGCCACTAAATCTAGTGATTGTTATGGAGAAATAGAATTACCTCAGATCACCCCTTGTGCCTGCAGTGTAGATTAGAGAGCGAGTCGAATAATGAAGAAGGGTTCTTTCTAGTGATGAAAGTTACACCGGTGCAGAGTGAAGTGAGTAGTTAGGACTTAGGAAAAATAATAAATGAATGAACTACAAATTTGGTCACGCTAATTAATCAAATTGCAATTTTGAGTTTACCTATCCTAAAATTATGTTCCAATTTATATCTTATTTTATTAAATAAATAATTTTCAAGAATTCGAAATAACAGGCGTATTAGCCGAAATGTTTACTTCACGTCGTCAATACTTTGACGAAGTGTCATAGTATTTCTCTGTGTCACAATATTTATATATGTGCTATAGATCATACATGTTTGTTGTCACTACAATGGAAATGAATCAATCTATATGCAGAAAAACAGAACAATAAAATAAAGTTAGATATTGAATGTTGGTTTCCTAGTTACTGAAGTTCGGTTTAGTCATTTAACAATTGAGGAAACAAAAACGTAGTTGTGTTAGGAAAGAAAGTGAAATGTGGCTTTCTCAACTCACTATTCTAAAATGACAAATTTCTTCGGGATTGCAAACCAGTTGAGCGGCTCGCGAGAGTGGACGCTCGACTCGAGCTTGAGTTGAGCATTTCGAACTCAAGTTCAAACTTGTGTAGTTTGTACACTGGAATGCTTTTCCAAACCTATTATTTGTATTTGTTGAATGTGTATATATATAAATTTAAGGGTGAAGCTCATGGGGATATAGGCTATGTTTGCTAGACAAATAAGTTAGCTTATAACTTATTTGGTTAGCTTATAAGCTCTTTGTTTTTAAATAAGCTCCGTTTGGTAAGACGGGCTTTTTTAAAAAGCCCGAGCTTATCTAATAAGCTTCTTTGGGTAGTTTTTCAAATAAGCTCGTTGAATTGTTTATTTCAGCTAGCTTATCAACTAAATTTTACTGAACATTTTTATCATATAAGCTACCTTTTCAGTTATAAGTCATAAGTTATAAGTTATAAGCTAAAAAATTACTGATAAGCTATTAACTAGCTTATCAACTATCAGCTGATAGCTTATCAACTATTAGTTAGCTTATCAATTAGTTTTATCAAACATAGCCATAATAAGCTTTGTATTTGCTTTCCATATTATAGCCTTTGAGAATGATTTTTACCTATCATGTTGATAATTTTCTTGGTTATCCAATCACAATATCAATATCAAGGAGTTATAATCCTTTATCTAATATCTAGGGATACCTTCCCAACAAATAAAGAGCATTCCCTTTAAAAACTATATGCATATGGACCAAATGAAAGCAAGGCCGTTATATCACGTCCTTTATTCCCCATAGTCCATACACCTATAAAAGTGTTCAACAAACAAATAATGATTCACTACATAAATACAAACCTAAAGTTACAAACCACCCCTCAACTCACAACAAACACCCTTACAAGTTACAACAAAAAAAAAAAATGGAAAACTTCGAGTTGGTTTTCATCCCCTTCCCCGCCCCTAGCCACCTCTCCACCACCGTCGAGGCCGCCAAGCTCCTCCTCGACCGGGACCCACGCCTCTCCATCACCATCCTCGTCATGAAACTCCCGACCGACCAAACCCTCGACAAATTCACCCAAGCCGACCCTTTTCCCGGCCTCCGGTTCACCCACCTCCCGAACCAAGATTTCGAGCCCTCCCCCCACCGAACAAAATTGTTCGACCTCGTCAACTCCCGCTTGCCCCACGTCCGGGAGGCCGTCTCGGGCCTCCTCAACTCCCGGCCCGGCCCGTCCTCCCGCGTCGCGGGCCTCGTCCTCGACATGTTCACCACCGTTTTCGTCGAGGCCGCGGACGAGCTCGGCCTCCCATCCTACATTTTCTTCACGTCAGGCGCGTCGGCGCTCGGCCTCTTCAACTACCTCGTCTCCCTCAGATTCGAGAGAGGCGAGGATCTCACCCGGTACAACAAGGGCTCGGGCCTCGACCTACCCGTCCCCTGCTTCCCGAGCCCTGTCCCGGCCAGAGTCCTCCCGAGTGTGTTCGTCAATGAGGACGAGTCCCCGATTTTCCTCGACCTCTTCAAGAGAGTGGCCGGCGTGAGGGGGGTCATGGTCAACACGTTCGAGGGGCTCGAGCAGTTCGCGCTCGAGTCGCTGAAAACGGACGGGAGGACGCCGAGGGTCTACCCGGTGGGCCCGGTTATGTGCGGGCCGAGTCGAGCCGCGGACGGAGACGTCGAGGTCTTGGAGTGGCTCGATGGGCAGCCGGACGGGTCGGTGGTGTTCCTATGCTTCGGGACGATGGGGAGCTTCGGGCAGGCCCAGGTGGCAGAGATCGCGGCGGGCCTCGAAAGGAGCGGGGCCCGGTTCTTGTGGTCGTTGAGGAAGCCCGGCCCGGGAGGTCCGACCGAGTACGGGGATTTCAAGGAGGTCCTTCCGGAAGGGTTCATCGGGCGGACGGAAGGGGTGGGGAGGGTGATTGGGTGGGCTCCGCAGCCAGAGGTTTTGGCCCACCGGGCGGTGGGGGGTTTCGTGTTGCATTGCGGGTGGAATTCGGTGCTCGAGAGCGTGTGGGAAGGGGTGCCGATGGCGGCGTGGCCGATGTACGCGGAGCACCAGGCGATCGCGTTTTTGTTGGTGAGGGAGTTGGGCATGGCGGAGGAGGTGAGGATAGACTACCAGATGGATGAGGAGCCGCCGGAGATGGTGGTGCCGGCAGCAGAGGTAGAGGCAGCGGTAAGGCGGCTGATGGCGGGCGGCAGTGGGGTTAGGGAGAAAGTGAGGGAGATGCAGGGAAAGAGCAGGGCAGCTCTGGAGAAAGGCGGGTCGTCCTATCATGCTCTGACTAGTTTTATTGAGGATGTTGTTAGGAATGTTGGTTAGTGTCCTAATAAGTTTCTTAGCACTTCTACAAAGATGTGGACTAAACTAGATGTGTCCGGTTTAATGATTTCTTAAATGGAGTTACTCAAAATAGAATTTTTCAAAATCCTGATCATTTAGTTGTATAGAATGGGCTTACTTAAAATAGACTTCTGCAAGTCCTCATCGTTTACTTCTATAGAATATATATTTTTTTTTTGGATAAACAACTTAAAAAGTCCTCATCATTTACTTCTATAGAATGGATTTTTTTTTTTTTTTTAATAAACAACTTATATGAGTTAATTAGTTAGAAATTAAAAGTTCATTTAGTGCTATATTGATGTATAAATCTGTCATAAGACTACTTGGTAAAAACTTAGCACAAACACAAAACAAAGGAAATTTTAGTTGAGTTTTGATTCTGATCAGTTCCTTTGACATTTGTGTAGCTCATGAATTCATATCTTTTCACTCATTTTATGATGCCTCACTATTTTCCTTTGACATTTGATTCTCAGTTCCTTCAACATTTGTGCATGAAACTTTTGTCTCATTTTATGATGTTTGTCACTATTTTCCTATATGGGAATATATAAATTGAAATAAAAAAATAAAAATAAAAATCCAATTTTCTTTCGTGTTACTTTTATGTTCAAGCATATCTTGACGTTGCCTAATTGATGGTGATTTGAGATAGATGGTATACATGTCATCTAATTTATATTTAGCTTTATTAACAATATCATTTGTATACATTATGTTTCTAGGGTTTATTTATTCTTTCTTTAACTCATATTTTAGAGCACTTGAATAATTTCTGATTATTATTAGTGTTCTTGATTATTGAATCAAATTTGAGATTTGACCTCTTTATATCTCCAAATTACTTATGTTGGTTTCGAAAAACTATATTTACTTGATATATTGTACATTCGTTGGTTGACTTATTCCGTAAAAATTATATGATATGATCACTTAGGTTCTACACTTGGTTTTGTTGGATAATTTCAATCCTACCACTGAGATCAGTGCTTCCACCGAATTTTTTACTTTGGTGTGTATGTGAGTGTATATAATCTAACAGTAAAAAAACCCGACAAGGACAGTACCTCACCAATAGACTCGAACTTGCCTTGGAAGGTGCATGTGCATAAGTTCTGAGTCAAATATTATCCCTTTGGACTATTCCAACACTAATGTGCTATACTTAAGCTCAACTATCAGCAACAAAAGTTACAAGGCTAACTCAAACACTTCAACTACAAACAATTAAACAACTGATTCTAACTTCTAAGAAGGCTATTTCGATATTTGGTTGACACTTTGGGAAATTCTCTATACAAGTTTATACATAAACCATCTCCCAAGAGGCCAAGGCCCATCACCTTATCTTATCCTTGCCCCTTCCATATTCAAACACAGCAACAAAAACAACTCATCATCATCAACCCAAAAATTATAAAAAAGAAAATAAAATCAATTATAAACATGGAAAATTTTGAGTTGGTACGTTGTTCATCCCCTCCCGGGCTGAGCCACCTCGTCTCCACCGTCAAAGCCGCCAAGCTCCTCCTCGACTGGGTTAAAGGATATTATTGCATGCATCTAATTTGCAAACAATTTTTTACAGAAAAAATTATTCAAAAGATTGAAAGAATTTGTTAAGAATTATACAACTATTTTTCTTAATTTTGTATCTAATTTGAACTATTTTAAAATTAATTTATATTTGTAATTATTTTCATAAATAATTGATATAGTTTTGGAATAAGAATCTCTAAATTTGTTACAAAAAAAATGGGATTCAGATTTTGGTAAAAAAATAAAAATTGATATAAAAAAATAGGATTCAAATTTTGGCATAAGATTCTCCAAATTTGTTACAAAAAAATGGAAATTAGATTTCGTTACTAAAGATTCACATCTGTTTTTCTGAAATTTTCACTAATAGTAAGTCAAACATTTTTTTTTTTTTGTCAAACTTTCTATTAATATATTTTTCCAACAACCTCTTTATATATAAAAATAGATATAGATATAAATAAATAGTTATTCTCTTTATATATATAGATATAGATTAATTTTTTTAAATAATATAATATTTGTAATTTCAATACTTAGTAAACTGTTGAGTAAATGAATTTTAAACAATATAGAAATCTAAGTATAAATACAAAATTATAAAATAAAAGATATGTAAATAATATTTTAAATAAGAGATGAATATAAGAAATAATATATTCAAGTGTCAAAATAATATCTAAATTACATGATAAAATTCAAACTAATTTCTAACACATTGTTACAAACTTGGTATTACATTTATATTGTATTTACTGTTTACTAGCAACTTTTACCACGCTATTACAAACTTGATATCATCATTATAAAATTTATATCTATATATATATATATAAAGGTTGTTGTTAAAATACCTTTTTAGAAACTTTTGACCAAAAAAAAAAAAAAAAAATTGACAATCTAAATATAGAAACCATATTTACTGCATTTATAATACACGAAATTTTAAAAAAATCATACTTCAATTCAAAAATTTGTTTATTAGAGATATTATTGGGATTGTGGATAAGTTTGGATCCATAATTATCATTACATGATTAATTCAAAAATTAATTGATTAGAGATATTATAGGGATATGTGGATAAGTCACAACTAGTACGTACCCCGTGCGATGCACGGGACAGAGATATTATATGAGTTATTTTCACACCCTTGTCCGTTTAAGTCTAAAAAATAATAGGGTTATTATCTATTTTCTACCTCTTTTAATCAACATTAAGTCTAAAAAACAATAGGATTATTATAAGTTTTTTCCACATTTTTTAACCAGCATTGATTTTTTAGTCAGAACATTAAATATGAGCATGTTAAGGCTACCTTGTAATTAATATATTATCTCACTAAAACATTTATACTAATAAAATTTTAATTTTAGCATACAAATTTATCCCTTGATATAAGAGAAAGTAACAGTTTTACATATTGTTGTTCAGTGTATAATATTTGATTATTATTTTATTATATAATAAAAAAGAATATTGTTAAATAGTGTAGTAGAATTGTTATAAAATTATATGAATTATTTTTTTTACAATATGGATTTAATATCTTTAAAAGATTTGATAATATAACTATAATATATTCTTAATGATATAATAATATGAGATACGGATTTACATAATACTATGAATTTATTCCTTAATATTAAGATATTGAATTAGGTAATATATGATCCACTAATTTGTAATCTGTATCTTTTTATATTGAAAATAATCAAGTGATTGAGTAGAGATAACAATTATCTATAAATTCCTTCATTTAAAGAATAATTTTTAAATTGGTCCAAGTGTTGAATGCAGTCCGATTTTCTTGTAACTAAAATGATAAGAGATTTTAAATTTCAAATTTTCACTTCAAAATCACACGTAAATTTGGATGCAGATTTTATTAAAAATAAAATGAGAAGAGATTTTGAATTTCATATTCACTTTAATATTTGTCGAAATTTTCAAAAATGAATTCAACAAAACCCATAATTTTAGGGGCATTTAATGATACCCTATTTATGATTTAAAATATCTAAAATTTTCTAAATATGGTGTGCAATTAATTATTTTAAAAGATGAACCGCTTTTGTTACCAGAAATTGTGGGCACACTTTTGAATGTACATCCAGTCCAAATATCAGTTTTATTTTAAAATAAAAATTTCACATGATTTTAACCAATTTACACACTTTTTTTGAAAGAAAAAAAATATTCATTAAGAATTGAAAAATTGGTTGGAAATTCTACAACTATTTATTTCGTAAATTTGTATCTAATTTGCACGATTTTTAAATTGATTTGTATTTAGAATTGTTTTCATAAATAATTGACACATTTTTTGCATAAGAATCTCTAAATTTGTTACCAAAAAAATATGATTTAAATTTTGGTAAAAAAATAAAATATGATACAAAAAAAAAAGAATTCAAATTTTGCCATAAGAATCTCCAAATTTGTTACCGAAAAAATAGGATTCAGATTTTGTTTCTAAAGATTTACATGTGTTTTTTCGAATTTTCCATTAATAGTAAGTCAAATATTATATTTATTTGGTCAAACTTTCTATTAATGTATTTTTCCAACAAACTCTTTATATTTATATAGATTGGATCCATAATTATTATTAGAGATATTATTGGGATTGTGGATAAGTCACAATTGGATCCATAATTATCATTACATGATTAATTCAAAAATTAATTGATTAGAGATATTATAGGGATATGTGGATAAGTCACAATTGGATCCATAATTATTATGTAATAATTATGCGAATCTTTAGTTCAAAAATGGTTGTTTGGTATAAAATCATATGCACTACCACTACTCAACAATTCACGTCATTCACAGTTTAGAAAAAGAAAAAAAAAAGTTCACGTCATTCACAGAGAAAAAAAACCGAGATAAATTTTACAGAGAAAAAAAAAAAGATAAATTTCAGAACACATTGATAATAAATGCCGCTAGTCTGGGATACACTCGATTCCGTGAGTAGGAGAAACAAGCCTTTTTCGCACTTGAAAGCAGTCCTAATAGTTGAAACGCATCACCAACGGGAGAGCTGGAACGCATTCCATATAATGTTTCATGATGAATAGGTAAATATTTATATTTGTAATATCAAATTCATGTAATTTTAAAAAATATTTTAATTCATATTTATAAATTTATGGAAGAACTCATGTTATCAAATATGGTGGGATTTTCCCTCAAAATGTTGATATTTTCCCTCAACATTAGCAATGAGCAGGAGATATTTATGATATTTAGAGTTTGGTTATTATGAATTTTAATTTCATTCCATGTCATTGAATTCCGAATTTTATAATAAATTTTAGTGTTATTGTATTTGTTATCGTTATAAAATGTCGTTGGATATTCTTTTTTTATTAAATGTCCCATGAATGTGAAAATTTGAACATTTTATTTTTGAGTTCTACTGTATATTAGTTTAAAATTGGTAGAATTCCATGATACAAGATATAAATTAATACAAATTTTAACAAATATTTCGAATATAAGATTATATAAAAAAAAATTACGAAATTAACAATAACTGAATTAAGTACATTTAATAGATTATATTGCGTGATTTTTCAATAATTTATCATAATGAATTATATTCATAAATATGAATATGAATTTTGATTATAATATTTATATTAATTTGTGTTATATATAAATTATTATTATTAAAATTTTTACGTAAAAAGATGGAAAGATTTGTTTGACGTAAAATTTTGATGTAAAATATTATAATATTTGTTTGACGTAAAAAAATTTTCAACAATTTTTTTTGTATCACATTGGTATGGACCGAAATTTAATGGAAAGATGTTAATTATGTAACGATGCTATCACACAAAAATCTCTACTTCTTAACTACTTTGCACTTATCTTATCATCATACATGATAAGGTTGAAAATTACAATTTGATTTCAAAATTGGTTTAGGTTTTTATTGATCGAGTATCACTCTTTGAATTCCATTTGAATTCAAAATTGGTGTATTTTTTATTTGAACAAAAAAATTTACGGAATTAACAATAACTAAATCAAGTACATTTAATGGATTATATTGCGTGATTTTTCAATAATTTATCATAATGAATTATATTCATAAATATGAATTTGATTATAATATTTATTTTAATTTGTGTTATATATATTATTATTATTAAAATCTTGACGTAAAAAGATGGAAAGATTTGTTTGAATTAAAATTTTGACGTACAAAATTTTTGACGTAATTATATTATTTGTTTGACGTAAAAAAGTTTTCAAGAATTTTTTTTTATCACGTTGGTATGGACCGAAATTTAATGGAAAGGTTGATGGTGATGGTAATTATGTAATGATGCTATCACACAAAAATCTCCACTTCTTAATTACATTCCACTTATCTTATCATCATAAAAAATTTCGGTCCATACCAACATGATAATCATTTGTGTTTGGATTGACCGAAATATATTCCATTTGAATTCAATGTCATTCATTTAAAAAACATAACAAATGCAGAGTCCTACGGTGGATAAATCTAGAGTTAATAATTTGATAAATCACGTTTTACTAATCTTATCATGATATTAGAGTTTGAATTTATTGGAACTCTGAAATTAAAATCACGTGCAATGAATCTTATCAAGAGAGATTAACGTGAGTCTAACTAATCTTATCATCTAATGGTTATCTACTTTCATCACATGGCTATAAAATAAACGTCGGAGCCTATACCACGTATCACAAAAATCTCACACTACAATTTCACATACAAACAAAAAAATGGCAAGAGCATGGGGAAACATCAAGCAAGTAACAAGGATCAACAGACCAATGCTCAAGTTGAGGGTGGTTCGAGTTTTCCAAAGGACTAATCAATACTCATCCTATAAGAACATCCTTGAAATTGTCTTTCATGACATTGAGGTTTAATTCATAATAAAAAATAATGATTATCCATTTTTCTCATCATGTTAATTATAATATCTAATATCTAATATTATTATTTTTTTTCGGGGAGGTCGAATTACTGGAATAGTAAAGCAATGAACATCCTAACTTTCATCAATGAATTCGAAGAAGGCGCTGTCTATGCATTTCGAAACTATCAAGTCGAGAGTAATATCGGAATGTATAGATGCACCATTGATAATTCGTGCTTCTCTAATAATATAGGATGAAGCACCAATGATGCACAAGCATTGTTTCGAAGCTGTACAGACATCACTGCAGGGTATTATGGGAGCAATTGAACCTTTGAACTTGAACAAACCGTTTGGTGGGACGTCGATTGTTTTTTGTGGAGATTTTCGACAAATCCTTCCTGTCATTCTAAAGGGTAGCCGTCAGGACATAGTCAATGCTGCCATTAATTCTTCTGACATATGGAGGAGTTGTACTGTGCTTAGGAATACGAAAAAATGCGCCTTCAGGGACTTACTAATTCGGATGAACGTGATGAGCTTGCACGGTTTGCAGATTGGATGGCCAACATCGGAGATGGAACTATCGGAGGGTTGAATGATGGATGTGCACCAATAGACATACCCGAGGTCATTTTGCTTCAGCCATCTGATGATCCTATTGCTCAGATAGTTGAAAGCACATATCCAATGTATAAAGAGGCACCCGACGATCCAAGTTATTTGAAGGATATGGCTATATTAGCGCCGACGTTGGATGTGGTCGAGTCTATCAATCAGTACATGACATCATTGAATTTGTTGGATGGTCGTATGTACTTGAGCTCTGACAGTACGTGCAAATCGGATTCTAATAATAATTTTTTGTCTGATCTCCATACGCCTGAGTTTTTGAATAGTATCAAGTGTTTCCGGAATACCGAACCATGAGTTGTATTTGAAGATTGGAACTTCAGTCATGTTGTTGCGGAACATGGATCATTCTATGGGTTTGTGTAGTGAGACACATGCTGGTGATAAGGTGTTGATTCCAAGAATGACCATAACTCCTTCTGATGTTAGAATTCCTTTCAAGTTCCAGCAGCGACAGTTTCCCATTATGGTTTCTTACGCCATAACTATAAACAAGAGTCAGGGACAATCCTTATCTCATGTTGACTTATTTCTTAAGAAACCAGTGTTCAGTCATGGCCAGTTATATGTTGCTGTTTTCCGTGTCACTAACCGAAAAGGTTTGAAAATCTTAATTTGTGGTAAAAATGACGTGCCAAAGAATCAAACCAATAATGTTGTATATAGGGAAGTGTTCAATAATATATGATTTTTTCAATTTAATGATATGTTGCATAACACAATTTATATACAAAATTGTTTTTTAAAAACATTCTAGATAATAATATCCCCGTGCATCGCACGAGTGACTACTAGTAAAATTAATAAAAAAAAGGGGCAATATAAACGAATAATATGTCGAATTGTGAATTATAATTATTAAAAACAAAAAATTGCTTATAAAGTTGAGTATCACCATCCGAAAAGAAAAAAATATCAATAAAAAACATGAAAAAGCAAAATAAATAACTTTTGAGTTTTGATTACATTTTTTGGTCACACTTGCCTTTTTTCCCAGTTCTCACAAATTTGAATTTCATACCGACTCTCTGCCCCCGCTCACTTTCTTTCCATCTCTATCCTCACACACACCCAAAGCACACACAGCAGCAAACACAAACACTGTCTCAGATTTGGGAACGCTGAAAGCATGAACCACTACCATATTTACGAGGCCATTGGCCGCGGAAAATACTCGGTGAGTTTTTCAATTCAAATTTCAAGCCGCCTGCAACAATTTTTCCATGTCTTAGGTGCTTTTTTCGTTTGTTAACTGCGTCTTTGCGAATTTACCGTTGATGGCAGACTGTTTACAAGGGAAGAAAGAAGAAGACGATTGAGTATTACGCAATTAAGAGCGTCGACAAATCTCACAGGAGCAAGGTTCTTCAAGAAGTAAGCACCTGCTATATATCTTTGTTGTATCTGCGATTTAGTGTTTTTTTTTTTTTTATTATTATTTTTGGGCGTTTATGGTGTACTTTTTATGGCCTGGACTGGATCTGGGGCTAGCTGAATGAATTTGGATTTTATTTCGAGCTACAGTAGTTTAATTTTGTATCGTAAATGCGATTGAGAAAACGAATACTGAAGTGGGTTGCCGTTTAGATTTATTTCATTATTGACCTTAGCTTGGAGAAGGTTGCGTTGGGTCTATGTTTATTAAATTGCTGGTTTCTGTAAGAGATCGACAGTTTGGCTAGAATGAAAATTCAACCTGTGAAATTGATTCTTAGGCCTTAGCTGAACATTTTTATTTGTTTATTTGTTGATATTGAAGCTATGGTGTTTTTGAGTTCTAATTGATGGTGAGTCATAATGTATCAAGTCGCCTGGAGCAATAAAAGATCTTTTATTACGACGAATCTGCAAGTAATCTCATTAGCATATAGGTACACTGTTATCAGATCTAAGGTTTTCACATCCTAATTTTTGAATTGAAAAATCCAATCCAGTCATTGCTTTCACTTAAAAAATGTTACTGAGCGCTTCTATATAGCATTCACAGAGCTGCACCTGGTTGCATATGCCAATATTTTTATTTAGAGGAGAAAGCTTGTAATGTGATATAGCAGATTGTTTCAATCTTTTATGTTTCAAGTATTATGCTGTCTAATTAGTGGAAATGGTTTTTGGCGGAATTCCTAGTTGAGGAAACACTTTACTTAAAAATTTGAGATGTCGCAAAACTTGTACATACATGTTTATGCAACTTTGGGCCAAGTTTTGCCTAATTAACTCTTCATATCTCTGGCTGTATTGTATTTACAGGTTAGAATTCTTCACACCCTGGATAACTCTAACGTGCTAAAGTTCTACTCATGGTAAGATTCTGACAGAAAAAAGATATACAAATTTTATTCTACTTGGCAGTTGGGCTTCTATTCATTCCTATAGGTCTATTCATACTTACTTGATTTTCTCGTCAATCGACGTTGTAGGTACGAAACATCAGCTCATCTATGGTTAGTTTTGGAGTACTGTGTCGGAGGAGATCTATTGACTTTATTACAACAGGTAATTAATTGATTGACTTTGTTTTGCTTCATCAACTATGGTAGTGGTTATCTTAGATGCTTTAGTAGAACACCAGTATGTGTTATGTGTCCGGAGTTAGTTGGGATAGGATTCATATTTCTGTATAATTTTGTTCATTAATTCCGTAAAACAAGTTCACTAGAATATACAAAAGAAGGAAGGTCTTGGTGGATATTAGCCAGGCTGGTTTTAGATTTTAGTAGGCATCTTGTTGGAAGCTGACGAAGATACTAAGCAAGCCAGTCTTATGCTTGGTAAGAGTAGTTCACAAACTTGCTAAAGTTAATCAAATAGTTACGTGGTGATTATCTGTGTTCCTATAAGAGTATCTGAATATATCAATAGTGAAGTATTCTGCATGTGCTGCAATGAAGCTTGACATTACACTGTACTTTTTTTTTTTAAATGAGTAAGTAACCCCACCACAGATTGTTAGGGATAAACCTAAGCCCTTATGTTTAATTGTGCTTGACTTTTGCTGAATAATTTCAGTTTGATAGCTTTTTTGCATAAAATATGTCTGCTAATCAATATAATTTGTTGAAATTGTTACTGATTTCTCATGGATTTTTAATATGCCTTTACTACCTGAATGACAGGATGGTAAGCTTCCGGAAGATTCTGTACATGATTTGGCTCTTGACCTTGTTAAAGCTCTTCAGTAAGTATCAGAGTTGTGATTGACTTCTTTTTTGGTGATTGGAACTGTTATTCTAATGGCCTCCTAAACAGGTACTTGCATTCAAGGGGAATTATTTACTGCGACTTAAAGCCATCAAACATTTTGCTTGATGAAAATGGACGTACAAAGGTATAGTGTTCTTCCTCCCCCACATTGATCATTTCGTGTATTAAAATCTGAGAAAAAGCTTCTCATTTTGTGCCCTACTGCAGCTATGCGACTTTGGACTAGCGAGAAAACTTAGTGATATATCCATGACATCATCTTCCCAGGTAGGATATCAAGCTATTATATCTTGTCATCTGGAGTTTTTTTGTTTTTACAATGAAATTGTCATTTGCTTCTGTCTATATATTACATTAGTCTTAGTATTCCACTATTCTGTAAAATTCTTCTACTTACACTTACACTTCATGCCTAGTTACCACAAGCAAAACGTGGAACTCCTTGTTACATGGCTCCAGAATTGTTCCAAGATGGAGGAATTCATTCGTATGCCTCTGATTTTTGGGCTCTTGGTTGTGTGCTGTATGAGTGCTATACCGGCAGGCCTCCATTTGTTGACAAGGAATTCACTCAGTTGGCAAAATTAATTCTTTCAGACGCGACTCCTGCTCTACCTGGAACTCCATCTCGTCCATTTGTAAATTTGATAAATTCGCTCTTGGTAAAAGACCCGTCTGAAAGGATACAATGGCCTGAACTTTGCAATCATGCTTTCTGGAAAACAAAAATTGTGCCGTTGACATTACCTCCTCAGCCTGCTTTCACTAACATGATTGAGATGCTTTTGGAACCACGTCTTTCTGAGCGCCATGGAGATAGACCTCTTCGGAACAAGACCACACCTAACACTTGTGGAAAAGATTCAAAAGCACCTAGAAAACAAGATGAGAATTCTGGTTCTGAAGTAAGAGAAGGAACACCTGTCAAGGGTGGTGTATATAGTGGCCGTAAAGCCCAGACAAAACCTTCAAGCAGAATACCTGAAGGAAAGCACAAAGATGGTTCTACTAATACGGGCGGCTTGAATCTCCTAAGGCTTTCAAGAATTGCTAAATCTAACCTGCAAAGGGAAAATGAGAAGGAGAATTACAGAAGGCCTTTACCAAATAGCACCAAGAATGATGCAGAAATCAAAATTGAAAACAATGACATGGAGCTGGATTTTAACGAGAACACAGAAGATGATGGAAATGATGAAACTGAAGGGTCTGAAAATGCCTCCACCATTGAGGACAATTTATCAACTCCAAATAAGCATGAGGGAAAACTTGATGACATGGACAATGTATCAAACCAGCCAGGCACATCAAATGTGGTGGAGACACCTATACATGATGATTCAAAACCACATGAACAAGAATCATCTTCAGAACACACGGAAGTGAGTCCAGCAGCAGTCACTCCTCCTAGTGCTAGTCCACAATTGAAGACTCCAAGGAACAAAGAAATTTCTGGGCGGGCCCTTGACTTTGATGCAACAAAATCATCTTCAGAGCTCTCAGATGTGCTATGGCATCCATCTGATCTCTCGGTTAGGCCAGTAATGCCGAGCAGAAAATTTGAGAAAGGATTAGATGCAATTCCTTCCCTCCCATTCCACACATTTCCCCCACCTGATTTTGCAAAATTGCCCAAGGATAGATTGGATGCTATATACGGTAGAATTGCAAGTATCATGAACGGGAACATTAATGGCGACAAGCAGAATGTGATTAGGTACCTTGAGATGTTGAGCACTAATGCTGATGCTGCCAATATTTTGACCAATGGGCCAATAATGCTAGTTCTCATAAAAATGCTGAGGCAGTCTAAGGCTTTGGCTCTGCGTGTACAGCTATCTTCTCTTATAGGACTATTGATTCGCCATTCAACTTTCATTGGAGATGATTTGGTAAATTCTGGAATTTTAGGTGCTCTAACTGATGGCCTCAGAGACAGACAGGAAAAAGTGAGAAGGTTTTCTATGGCTGCCATGGGTGAGTTGATCTTTTACATATCTACTCTAAGTGATCCTGCTAGGGATAATAATCCTCAGGAGTCTCCATCTAAAGACAGCCGACCCTCTTCCAGCTGGCAGGTTAGCTTTTTTCAGCACGGTATCTGGAACAAGTTACCTAGAACTATGATTTTGCATAATTTTTTGCTTTGGCTGATCTTATGTTCAAAGTTATCACCTTTACTATGTTTTATACTCGTATTCATTCTGTTTGTCCTGACGGAGTCTAAAATGCTAGTTTCCCTATCTTTTGTCAGGTCCCTAATGCATTAATCTCTTTGATCTCATCCGTATTGCGGAGAGGGGAGGATGATCTCACCCAGCTTTATGCTTTAAGAACAATAGAGAACATATCTAGTCATGGAGGATATTGGGCCACTCGTTTTACAAGCCAAGACGTAGTTAGCAACCTTTGTTACATATTCAGGGCTCCAGGAAAACAAGAGTCCATGAGGCTTACTGCTGGGTCATGTTTGGTTCGTCTGGCTCGTTTCAACCCACCTACCATGCAGCAGGTTATCGAGAAACTTCCGCTTAAGGACATTGCCTCAAGTCTTTTTAAGGGCAACCAACGAGAGCAGCAAATCTGCTTGAACCTTCTAAACTTGGCTCTTCATGCAACCCACTTGCTGACAAATGTCGGGCGTCACCTTCTTCCTGTAATGGAAGATAAGAATCTCGTTTCGAATCTCCTGTCACTTATCGAGCAGGGTAGTGAGGTCCTCAGGGGAAAGGCTCTCCTTTTTGTGGCCTTACTAAGTAAAAATGGGAAAAGATGTCTCTCCCAATTCTTCTGCAATGCAAGATTCTTATCGGCGGTGGATAGGCTTGCAAAAGATAAAGATAAATATGTGCAGCATTGTCTGGCTGCATTTGTTCATGGTGTGGTGTCAACTTTACCGGGTCTTCTGGAAACTATAACTGGAGATATTCAGCTTCTAGCGGGAGGGAGACGTCATGGGCAGATTGGAGGTCACAATAGCCGAAATTCCCCAAAAAACAGTATTCATTTCTTTCCTGTGGTTCTCCATCTTTTAGGGAGCTCTTCATTCAAGAATTCGGTAGTGACTCCTCAGGTTCTACAGCTGGTGGCTAATCTTCTTAAATTGGCAGAGTTGCCTTTTCAGGTATATATCTGGAAACTCGTGCCTGCCATCTTGCTCTGCTTTATAAACTTCTCCGGGTTACTATAGAATATCGTTTATAACTTGTTGCTGGTACTGTTTTTCTTTTTTGATAACGGAAGAACAGATTATGAGAACTCAAATTTAATTTGTCAATTACCCAAGCTCAACCATATCCGAAATTAGTCATATTAGTTGCAGGTTTTTTAACTATCTAATGGATTGACAAAAGTGGATTTTTGGAAATTTACAGTTTTGTATCATCACTTTCAAGTTTTCGAGGTATATTTCGTTGTCTTGGCATGCTTGAGATCATTTGTCAATGAATTTACTACAGAATACATTTCTTTGTTAATGTAAATGCATCTCACTTCCTGTTAATCTAAGTAAACTCTTCCAAATTTCTTATTCTGGACGATTTTCAGCCGTACATTACCTTTCATAGCATAAAAAAGGAATAATGACATAAGAAAGGACTTCCTTGCTATTCATGACTTACATTCAGTTCCAACACTCATTTCAGATTTTTCTTCCTTTGTAAGGAAGACCACGCTTGTTGTTTCCAAATCCTTAATTGTTAAAGACTGTCTTTGCTTTTTTTTTTTTTCTTTTTTTTTCCTATGATGGCTCATACATTTATCAACAAATTTGGTTTTACCATAACTTAATAATACCCAACCAGAACTGATTTGCTCAATGCTTTCTACTTTATTGTTTGATTTTAGGGAAGGGATGATTTCCAGATAACCCTTCTCCGCGTATTGGAATCAATCTCAGAGGAGCCAACAGCAGTCAACAATAATCCCACCATCTTCATTCGCCAAGTCCTGCCTAGTCTAACTGCTCTGTACAAGGGAAACAAAGATGGAGATGCTCGATTTCTGTGCTTGAAAATTTTATTCGACATCATGGTTCTTTTTCTGACTGAGCCCTTAGAAGATGACCAAAGGCTGCAAGATTTAAAATCAGTTTCAAATGTTAATTTCCTCCCTCTCTACCCTTCTTTGATCGAAGATGAAGACCCGATTCCCATGTACGCTCAGAAACTACTTGTAATGCTCATTGAGTCTGATTACATCAAAATCTCAGACATTCTTCACATGAAGGCAGTCTCACAGTGCTTCGAATTTCTATTCGGTGATTTCTCGACTATAAACGTGAGCAATGTGATGCTTTGCCTGGCTTTAGCATCTGCCCCGGAACTGGAAACCAAAATAATTTCCCAATTAAAAGTGGTGAGAAAAATCGGAAATCTTTTGGAATTCGTGCAGGCGAAGGAGATGGAGGATTTTATCGAGCCAACACTCGGCCTATGCAGGGCATTCCTTTTACGTGCTTTGAGCTGCAAGGCTAAGTTTGTCTACTCAAAGCAGCCAGCTCTACTAAATGATGGCTCTATGGAAATCTCTTCCGATCTTGGCATAAAAGATATCCCTGACTTTGGCGCCAATGTTGGTGTTTTTCTGGAACTATGTAAATCGAGCGAGGCTAATATACTGGATTTGGCCTCCGAGTGTTTGGTTTTGCTGTTTGAAGCAGCTCCAAAAGAAGCAACAATGAATTTCTTCATGAGTCTTTATAAAGTGCCTGTGGTGCTTGAGAGTGGTCAAGGAGGTGATATCTCGAACTTGGTGGTCGAACGAGTTTTGCATGCAATTGGCTTTTCTAGTCGGTATTATGTTTCGCACACGATGATTTTGTCTATCAGTGTGTCTGAGCTGGCAAAAATTGATGCGGTTGTTTCGAGTTTGAGGGGCTCAAGCATGAAAAATATTGCCGAGGCCTCGGTTAAGGTGGCTATGGAATTGAAGAGAATACCTCGGTAGCGTCTCTCTATGCATTTGTTCGTTTATGTTTCAATTTATATATATATTGTGATCTATGTGGTTTGTGTGGCTCATTTTGATGGTAAGTAGACAATCAATTCTTGAGGTTTAAGCTAGTTACAGAAGAAATCCAACTATCTTGAGAATGAGATGCAAGACACTTGAGGTATTATAATTTATAAGCAATAGTTGACGCTTGCAGTTCCTGAATAAAATTTTGCTACCTGTAGAATAGAATCGGATGATAGGTGGGAGTAGGGTTGTTAAACGAAACGAGCTACTCGTGAGATGATGAGCTCGGCTTGTTAAGTTATGGCTTGAAACAATGAATTTTTATGTAATTTTTTGTATAGCTCGGCTAGTTAAGTCTTGAGTTTGGCTAGTTAAGGCTCGAGCTCGGTTTGTTAATATTGATAAACAGCTCAAGCTAGTTTTGACTCATTTACACCCCTAGTTAGGAGTTCGTGAAGCTGTTTCAAGTCTAAGAGTCTACTACTACTATAATCATCATTTTAATTAAAAAAGATATATATTTTTCTTGGACTGATGTTTGTTTATTGCTATTCTGCAGGAGCTAGATTTGTTACTAAAATGAAGCAGCAGTCCCTATCCTTCCCTATTTGTATTTACAGTATCTGTAATACTTATATTATAACGAAATTGTTAAGTTCTACGCATATTTTTGTCTTTTTTAATATCATTCATTTTTTCTGAAGTCGTGCACATTTGATTGAATTCAGTTTTTTCATTATTCAATCTTGCCTTTGATTAACCCTTAAACAAAAAATTTTGCATATCTATATATATATAATTACTAGCTAATAGTATTTAATAAAACCTATTTAATTTTACCTATGTGGCAATTTAACAATTTTCCCTCCAAAAACCATTACATTTTGATGTATTTAATCTTTCATTTAATCATTAAATAATTAATACTCATCACTTCAAAATTACAAAAATCATTTTAAACTTTTGATTAATGATAGTTGACCATATAATGTGTTGACCGTGTAATGTGATTAGATGTTATTATTGTTGTTACATTTATTTTTTTTAAATAAAAAATATATTTGAAATTTTTAAATAAATAATAAATAATTCACAAATAAAAGACGTACCAAAATATACATTACATCCAATCAGATAAACACAATTTAAAAAAAAAAATATTCCAACTCTTTTAATTGTAAATTTAGTCTGCAAAAAAGGTGAAAGAAAAATAATTAATCATTATATGCATACAGACTCACAATAATTTATTTATATGTGTCTTATGACAATTACAGTAATTATCTGTCGAATACTAGTGATGGTAAACTTTGGCATGCCTACATATTCCGTCTCATGGCAATTACAGTAATTAAAACGGCAAATGCGATTATCTGAACTTATAATATATGAACTAACAATTTGTGTATAGCCGAAGTTCAATTGTATGAGATGCTAAAGAAAAAGAAAAAAGACAGATTTTTTGTGTTCAATTTTACGCGAAATTGAAAATTGAAGTTACGTCTGTTTGACCCCATTTGTACTAATAATTTTGGCAGGTAAAACTTCCATTTTACACCAACTTAATGAGAAAATGAACTCACATCTAAGTGATCTGTCAAATCTCCTAATGTTTAGTAAATAGCTTATTTGATTAGCATTTTAAAAAAGAGCATTAATTTTAAAAATCTCAATATATGTACATTTTTTTAACGAGACGTAACACAAGTTCGGATATACATCTCTTTGGATTTACAAAGACTATTAAAGAGAAATACAACAAGCAACTAAATAACCCCATCAAAAGAAGGAAAAAACTCCAACAGTAGAGACTTTAATCTTGACACATGCTGGAGATGTTGAATCGGTAGTATAAAATTACACGGGAATCCTACGAACTGATATGTATTTTTCAGTTCTTACAAATAATCTAAAAATAGAAAATTACAATTGAACTGAAAAATTAAATTACAACTGAAAATAAATTAAAAACTTAAAAAACAAAACGGAAAGATTAAAGTCGAGGCGAGTAAAACTCTTTCCGCAAGAAGAATACGCCCCGTGTGTCAGCTAACGGTTCAGGCGTAACTTCCCCAAAGATACAACGGCAAACGTCTCTAAATCTGTAGCACACCAGATTTACGAGCTCCGGCGAACTGGAACGAAGTCGAGAATTGAGCACTTAAAAATAGGAATAAAATTATCACTCTCTCATAATTTTTCTCTATTTTTATCACTAATAATTATATCCCTCAAATATTCTTTTGGACAGATTATTTTTTCTATCTCCCTTTCTTATCTTTCTCCCTTTCTTCCTCTATTCTTTTCTTCTGTATTATTCTTCGTCCGAAATCCCCCTATTTATAGGTGGTAATGAGGGAGCAAGATAAGGCCAAGTGGACCAATTGCCATACTCCAAGATAAGGCAAAATTGGTTTAGGGTCATACTCCATATTACATTTCCTCCACTGAAGATAAAAAGAAGCATTGGGAAGTGTGATTGCTAATTGAAAATCAATTGTTATAGCATGATTGATCAAAAGAGAGGACCCACACTCAATTATTTGTTCAATTTTGCACTCAATTCTAACAATCCCCCACATGAGTGGAAATTGAATATAATATACTATATGCTCAATCCTCACAAAACTCTATTGCATCAGAAAAGGTAGCTTTTGGCTTTGAACCTTTCTTAGTAAACATCATCGGATGTACTGGCGGACTAGTGAACATAATGCCTTGAACTATTCCTCCATAGTGTACACCTAGACAATGACATCCACACAATAGAGTCTTAACTCCATTTCGTTCTATCGTTGTGTCCGTTTTGGCCATGGACAACACAATGGATTCGTAAGTGTTTACATTTGAAGCGGCCCACACTTCACACTTATATAGGTGACCTCCCTATCAAGAGTATCATGTATTACTCCACCTTTACAAGGTTAAGGATTCATTAAAAGTCCACATGACTTACCCTTACCACAATCAATAGGTCATCATCACTTGGAGTGCTCTAGGGAATAGCTTTGGACATTCATATGTTCCAAGTGCTCAACTGAATTTTCATAGCTTAGTTTTCCCTTTGAACCAAGTTCGTGAGATCTCCACTCAGCATGGTAGGGTTACCACTATGATCATTCTTTTCATTGTGGATTTTGAAGCCCATTCCCTCTAGCAAAACTACCAATTGATCTCCTTTCAATCCTTTCGTCAAAGGATCAGCCAAATTTTCTTTAGACTTCACATAGTCAATGGAAATAACACCATTGGTGATCAATTGTCGTACGGTATTATGTTTACGACGAATATGTCTAGACTTACCGTTATACAAGTTGCTTTGTGCCCTTCCTATAGCAGCTTGGCTATCACAGTGAATCATCACAGGCGGCAAAGTCTTATCCCAACATGGAATATCAGACAAAAAATTTCTAAGCAACTCGGCTTCTTCACCAGCTTTATCTAAAGCAATGAACTCCGATTCCATAGTTGAACGAGCTATACACGTTTGTTTTGTGGATTTCCACGAAACTGCACCTCCTCCAATACAGAAAACGTATCCGCTAGTGGAGCGAGAATCTCTCAAATCTGATATCCAGCTTGCATCACAGTACCCTTCAAGTACGGCTGGGTATCTCGAGTATTTTAGCCCGTATTCAAGAGTGTACCTTAAGTACTTAAGTACCCTTCTCAAAGCATTCCAGTGTTCATGACTGGGATTGCTCGTAAATCTACTCAACTTATTCACCGGGTAGGCCAAGTCTGGTCGTGTACAATTCGTCAAGTACATCAGACTTCCTATTATCCATGAATATTCCAACTGAGCCACTGGTTGACCTTTATTGGCTACCAGATTTATACTGAGATCAATGGGTGTCTTACACCTAGACTGTGCATCGTCATAGGTATCAAATTTCTTGAGCACTTTCTCTACATAATGAGATTGTGACAAGACAATTCCATCTTGGGTTCTGATAATCCTTATTCCAAGAATAACATCAGCCAAACCCATATCTTTCATGTCGAAATTTCTTTTCAACATTCTTTTCGTATCCATGATCACTTCATGGCTACTCCCCATGATCAACATATCGTCTACATATAGACATACAATCACAAATGCATTTGATGTACTCTTTACATAAACACATTTGTCACATTCGTTGATTTTGAACTCATTTGATAACATCACGTCATCAAATTTCAAATGCCATTGTTTCGGAGCTTGTTTCAGTCCGTACAAGGATTTGATCAATCTACACACCTTTCTCTCTTGTCCAGGTGCAACAAACCCTTCAGGTTGTTCCATGTATATTTCTTCTTCCAATTCACCATTTAAAAATGCCGTCTTGACATCCATTTGGTGAATCTCAAGATTGTGCAAAGCAGCAATCGAGAGAAGCACTCTTATCGACGCTAAACGCGTAACTGGTGAATAGGTATCAAAGAAATCATACCCTTCCTTTTGTTTAAAGCCTTTTACCACCAAACGTGCTTTAAACTTATCAATCGATCCATCAGCTTTATATTTCTTCTTTAGGATCCATTTACATCCTAAAGGTTTACAACCCTCAGGGAGATCAACCAACTCCCAAGTATGATTTTGCATAATGGACTCGATTTCGCTATTTACAGCTTCTTCCCAGAGTGGTCCATCTGGGCTGGACAGAGCTTCCTTAAGGGAACTCGGTTCATCGTCCAACATATACGTAATAAAATCAGGTCCAAACGTTTTCGCCGTTTTTAACCTTTTACTAAGTCTCGGTTCTTCAACAGTACCCTCTGGTACAGAACCACTAGCAGTTTCATACGTTCGTTTATTAGAACTAGATTCTGCTCTTTCCTATAGAGGAAAAATATTCTCAAAGAAGATAGCATTCCTTGACTCAATCGTGGTACCAACAGATACCTCTGGATTTTCTGATTTATGAACCAAAAATCTATATGCTGTACTATTGTAAGCATATCCAATAAATACACAATCGACCGTCTTTGGTCCGATTCTCATTTGTTTTGGTTCAGGTACTGAAACCTTAGCCAAACACCCCCACACTTTCAGGTATTTATAAGACGGCTTATGATTTTTCCATATTTCGTAAGGAGTCTCATTTTCCCTTTAGGTGGTATTTTATTCAGGATATGATTTGCTGTTAAAACAGCTTCCCCCCACATGTTCTGTGGCAATCCTGAATTTATCAACATGGCATTCATCATTTCTTTTAAAGTACGGTTCTTGCGTTCAGCAACACCGTTTGACTGTGGAGAAAAAGGGGCCGTCATTTGATGAATTATGCCATATTCAGAACATATTTGTTCAAAAGGAGATACATACTCCCCACCCCTATCACTTCGGATTATTTTAATCCTTTTGCCGAGTTGATTTTCAACTTCGGTCTTATAAATTTTAAATGCTTCCACAACCTCATCTTTGCTTCTTAATAAATATAAGTAGCAAAACCTTGTGCAATCATCGATAAAAGTAATAAAATACTTTTTACCCGTTCTTGTTTGCACACTTTTCATATCACATACATCAGTATGGATTAAGCCTAATGGTTCAGTACACCTTTCCACCGAGTGAAAAGGAAACATAGCCATTTTTGCTTCAATACAAATCTCACATTTCTTATGTGATTCAATTTTAGAATTAGGAATTAATTCTAAATTCATCAACCATTTAATTGCATTTCGATTTACATGTCCCAATCTAATATGCCATAAATCAGAGCACTCAACGGTATAAACAGAAATAGGCTTTTCATTATCATTTAAAACGGTTACACGGCTCACGGCCATTACATTCATTTTAAACATACCCTTGTCGAGATAGCCACGACCAAGGAAAGTTCCAAACTTGCTAAGAACAAATTTCTTAGCATCAAATACCAGCCTAAATCCATGCTCAACAAGAAGAGATCCGGAGACCAAATTCTTGCGGATGTCTGGGACATGCAGAACATCCTTAAGCTTCAACTCCTTTCCAGAAGTCAGCTTCAGCACCACAGTGCCCACTCCAGCCACATCAGCCATGGCGGAGTTTGCCATGTAAAGTTTTCGACTCTTAGCAGGAGTGTATTCAGAGAACACCTCCTTATCGGAACACACATGACGAGTGGCACCAGTATCGATGTACCACTCCCTTGGGTTATCCACCATATTGGCTTCAAACACCACAGCCAACATATCAAAGTCGGTCAGTTCACCCGGCACAGGGCCGTGTTCAGCTACAAGAGCACTTGGTTTAGCTTTCTTTGGCCCAGCCTTCTTTGGCCTCTTGCAGTCTTTAGCCATATGGTTCGGATTTCCACAATTATAACAAGTTCCGGTAAACTTCCAAACCTTGGCAGGCTGCTTCCCTTTGTCTAGGGACTTCCTCTTGCTCGAGTTGCCTTGCTCTATCAAGTTAGCACGAGCCTCCATCATCGGAATTTTTCCCGATGAATTACGATTGTCCTCCTCAATACGAAGACGAACAATCAAGTCTTCAAGACTCATTTTCTTCCTCTTATGTTTGAGGTAGTTCTTGAAGTCTTTCCAACCCGTCGGCAGTTTTTCAATCACAGCCGCAACTTGGAATGATTCGCTCAGAGACATTCCCTCAGCATGGATATCGTGCAAGATAAGTTGAAATTCTTGCACTTGGGACATGACAGTCTTAGAGTCGACCATCTTGAAGTCAAGAAACTTGCCGACGACGAATTTCTTCGCCCCGGCATCCTCGGTCTTGTACTTCTTTTCCAAAGCAGTCCAAAGCTCTTTGGCAGAACCAACCGAGCTGTACACATTGTACAACTCGTTACTAAGTCCGTTCAGGACATAGTTACGACAAAGGTAATCACCTTGCCCCCAAGCTTCGTACGCAGTGCGTAGTTCAGCATTGGTCTCATTTTCAGCAATAACCGGGAGGTCGTCCTTCAGGTATTTCACCAAACCCAAAGTGGTCTGGTAAAAATGCATCTTTTGTTGCCACCTTTTAAAATCAAGCCCATTGAATTTTTCGGGCTTATCAGCAGTAGGGACATGGACAGCAGGTACATGATTGATCGGATGTTGAGTGTTGGAACCATTTCCGGTGGAAGCCATCAGTCCAGTAGGTTGAAATATTCTTCTTGCGATTGTTGAATCGGTAGTATAAAATTACACGGGAATCCTACGAACTGATATGTATTTTTCAGTTCTTACAAATAATCTAAAAATAGAAAATTACAATTGAACTGAAAAATTAAATTACAACTGAAAATAAATTAAAAACTTAAAAAACAAAACGGAAAGATTAAAGTCGAGGCGAGTAAAACTCTTTCCGCAAGAAGAATACGCCCCGTGTGTCAGCTAACGGTTCAGGCGTAACTTCCCCAAAGATACAACGGCAAACGTCTCTAAATCTGTAGCACACCACATTTACGAGCTCCGGCGAACTGGAACGGAGTCGAGAATTGAGCACTTAAAAATAGGAATAAAATTATCACTCTCTTATAATTTTTCTCTATTTTTATCACTAATAATTATATCCCTCAAATATTCTTTTGGACAGATTATTTTTTCTATCTCCCTTTCTTATCTTTCTCCCTTTCTTCCTCTATTCTTTTCTTCTGTATTATTCTTCGTCCGAACTCCCCCTATTTATAGGTGGTAATGAGGGAGCAAGATAAGGCCAAGTGGACCAATTGCCATACTCCAAGATAAGGCAAAATTGGTTTAGGGTCATACTCCGTATTACATTTCCTCTACTGAAGATAAAAAGAAGCATTGGGAGGTGTGATTGCTAATTGAAAATCAATTTTTATAGCATGATTGATCAAAAGAGAGGACCCACACTCAATTATTTGTTCAATTTTGCACTCAATTCTAACAGGAGATACTAAAAAAACACAAGAAAAATTAAAAATTAAAAAATTAAGAAAAAACAACACACAACTACATTAAGGTAGTGCTTGGTTGGATGAAAAAAGAGGAGAGTGGGGAATTTCTAATTTTTTCCCTTGTTTGGATGGGAATTTGGAGGGAGGAGGGAAAATTTTAGCAGGAGTCCCTTCCCCTTCCATTTTGCTCCTCCTCCAAGAATTAAGAATTTGGAGGGGAGAAAAAATTTTAATAAAGTAGT